GATTTTCCACCAACCTGGCTAGTGAGACCAGCAGCCCTGGAAGCGTTCGGAGCCCTACAGCTTGAGCTTTGGTTCTCTCTGCTTTATCTAAAGTAGCCTCAGACAGTGTTAGCTTTTCAAATGTCTTCTTCCGCTCTGACTCCCAAGTAGCTCTCTGCAGCACTGGCATGCCTGTCACTCTACAGCACACGGCTCCAGCATGGGGAATCTATTTTTTCCTTTCTCTCTCCCCTAGCATCATGAAATTCCTTGTTTCCAAACGGAAGTTCAAGGAGAGCCTTCGGCCTTACGATGTGATGGATGTCATCGAGCAGTATTCAGCCGGTCACTTGGACATGCTCTCCCGGATTAAAAATCTCCAGTCCAGGCAAGAGACTCCACTGTTTGTTGTAATAGCACCCCAGTGGTGGATGATAGGAGTAAGAGGGTTAAGATAAAGTCCTTTCTTTAAACAGCCACATCCTATTTTTCTTTCTAAGAAAAAGCGTAATGGAAAACAATGGATTTCTGAATAACGTCTGGTTGTGAGGTGGCCACATGGGGTGAATTTTTGGCACAGAGTGCCGGGAGGACAGATTAGTTTTACAGTGCCCCTTATTTCTAATGTCCAGTCTAGGGGAGGGAGCTGTGCATTCTGGGTAAGGGTGCTGGACAGGCTCCAGAAACAGCCTCAGGCTCTGTTATGAAACAGAAGCAAACTCTGTTCCATCTCCTTGTGCCAATAAACCTGTGTTACTTCCCATACCATGGCACCACCAGAGAATCCTTACTGAAGGATCCTGCCCTCTCCCCTTCCCCATCCCACTCCACACACACAAGCTGGTTGTTCACATTTCAGCCATTACCAGAGAATATGTGAAGAACGTCCCTCACTGTGGCCCAGCATGTGGTCAAAGAGCAGACCGGGGTGTACGTAAATCTTTCAGAAGCATTTTGGAACATACGTCTCAGTGCTTTGTTGTTGGATACTTAAGATTTGACATCCCATTCGGGGGGGCCTGTGTTGCATATCGGGTGTCCTTTCCAGCAATGAAATAAAATAAAGGAGCTACCTTGAAAGTACCATTTTTGGCCCTCTTGTTAAGAATAAAGGAGCTATTAGAAAAATGGCCCCAGTATGAGAGGCTCTTGTAATTATTTTACAGCTTTTGCCCTGGGAAGTGGGAGGAGTCTGACCTCTGTTTGGATTGGGTGGGAATGGGGGAAGAATGTCTTAAAAATATGGGAGTTTAACATATCAGTCCAGCTGGGTAGCCTCAGTGAAACAGGAACTAAACTGCATCCGCTGTATAACTGTCCGAGGGTACTGAGGACAGGATCGAGCTCCTTGTGTTTAAACTGTATGGAAGAGGAAGCATTAGGAAGAGTATAAAAGGAGGGAGAGAGAGAGAGATACTTTAAACTCCACCCTTCCTCTCCAACGCCCAAATTATTTTACCTCAGAAAAAGTTTGAATTCAAACCTATGAACCGTGGATGAGAGAAAAGCCATTGACAGTAAGAACTCTACCCTCTCTCCTTACAAATAACCCTCAATCGTGTCAATTAAGAAAACCTGCCCTTTGCGGCCTACAATGTGTAGATACATGTAACTCAAGGCACCTTAAATTACTTTCAGTCAAAGTGAATGTCACTTATATGCCTAACTAACTGCTTGTGCCTGTGTATCAGGCAGAGACAACCAAGTAATGTCATGTAAATATTTGCCTCTGCAAACTTATAGATGAAAAATGGGTGCTCAAGTGGATGCTTCTCTACCGCCTAAAAGGGTCTTTCTCCAACCCCCATTGAAGCCAATGGAAATTTTTCCATTGACTTCAAAAGGAATTAGATTGGGTCCTTTGCACGGATAAGGCATATGACAGGAAACAGTGAACGTTGTCCTTGGTTCTTTAATTTCAAAATCTAAATGATGGAGCCACAATTGGAGATAAATCAATGTCTGTTACCTCATATCCCCCATAAAAGTACTTGTGTTGCCAGAATACTGTGTGTTACCTATATTCCCAGTTAATTCTTGATTCGTCATGTCATTGTGAGAGTCATTCGAAGAGCAGGACTGAGCTTGGTATCACAAACCCACTGTGTCTAGCAAAGCACTTAAGCCCAGGCTTAGCTGTAAGAGTATGAAATCACTTGAGTAAAATCTTTCCTTTTGAGATTTCCAGCCGAGGTGTGCACAGTAAAATAGTCTGTCTAGGTTAGGGAAGATCTAGATAGGCACCCATACTTTTTGGGGTCTTCAGCTGAACCTTGTCCCTGGCAAGGTTCTCCAGTCCTGCCTCCATTTTTCTTGTTCTGAGATTGTGTGTTCCAAAAAGAAAGTTGTGCGGCTCGTTGATTTTTGGGTGGAACAGGGAGTGGCTGTTTTGAAAGACAAGGCCAAATGCTCCTCTCAGTTGCATCTGTGCAGTGACATGCAGTAATCATTGGGGTAGATTGTGATGTAGACTATACTTCCTTCTATCCTGGGAAGGAAGGAAGCAGTAAAACTATCTCCTTGAGCCCCATGTAGGCTACCTGGACTTTCATCTTAGGTACGCAGGACATTGTGCTTTCACCTACTCCCCCGTCCCCAGAACAGGTTGGTGGAGAATGAGCAGGGCATGGCTGGGGAAGAGGCCGAGACTTGGGTGCGCCCCACAACATGCTGATCAGCACAGTGGAGCTGGTATGGGGGGCAGGGAAATGGGACAATGCAATTTGCCACTGGTGTAGAGCTATGATAGATTAATACTCCCTGCAACAATGAGGGACCAAGGCAATACGTTCTCTCTCTGAGAAAGAGAGTGAGTTTGTGATGATGTTTAACATTAGCCTTCTGTGGCCAGTATTTTGTTGGGTTAAATCTTTATTCAGGCAAACTTGTGGGGGTCTTTACATGCACTTTTCTCTTTAATCATTCATAACTCTCTGTCACTGCTCTTGTGACGTGTCTGTAATTGGTTCTTTTTGGTATTCTGTCCCTGCCTCACCTCCCTTTCCAACACCTTTCCAACCATGGATGCATTTCATTCACTGAGTGTACAAGTCCACAGTGTACTTCATTTACACCTTGCTGAGGATGTTTTATCTATCACTGTAATAGAAAGGAGAATATATATTGTCTTATATCTGACATTTCCAATGGGACATTGCCACATATATGCAAATATATTCCAGTGTGTACAGTATGTTGCCTATTATATGCAGAGTGACTCCCATTTTAAGCAGCAGTGACGTTCTTTTGATGCCCAGTTCCATGAATCTTATGTTTGGCCAGATAAGATTTGGCATTAACCATGAACGATCAGGCAATATAATGCTGCATTCTGTTTCGAGCAGAATATATTTTCCAATTCTCTCTCTCTCTCTGTCTTTTATTTTTATTTTTTTAGTTGTTCCTTATGTTTCCGCAACTTTCCGACCAAGTTTTTTCTACGTGTTGCTTCATTATGCATTTTGCTGGTGTCTTTTTTCTTATTTACTTTGCCAGGATAGATATGATTGTGGGTCCCCCGCCCCCTTCAACTCCCCGGCATAAGAAGTATCCAACCAAAGGACCCATGCTCTCTTCTAAAGAGTCACCCCAATACTCGCCTAGGTTAGGATTAACCAAAATGGCGCTTTCTCTGGATTTTTCATTTGCTTAATGTCAAACCCCTTTCATGCCAGGTATATGACGGCATGTATCACTTAATAAGGCAGCTCGCTGACACATATAACTCAAAATCCCTTGGATGTACTTTGGTGATGGGTTTTCACACTAAGACAAGTCTAAGGAAAAAAATTATACAACCATTGATTTCTTCTGTGAGCATTATTCAGTTTTCCTCAAGTAGTTGTTTGGGATGGTAAAATCATAATTTGTTGTGATGTTGCAGCCAATTATAAAAGACTACAAAATACCTTCAAAAGCAACAAGATTTGTTATTTTCATCTAGAAGAAGAGGTAAATTAAGATTAACTAAAGAATGGAAAACTTCTCACTCTGTGTGTGTATCTACCCACCTATATTCACTGAAATGAACATATTCCATGTTTTTTTCAGGAGGCAACATTAGAATCAAATGTGTTTCATATTTATAGGGAAGGAAGTGAATAAATGCACTGAACCATTTTCACCTCTGGTCGAACTCTATTGACCAGAGTAAATGTATAGTATCACTAAAAATGTTACATACGCTCGGCCGAGTGTTCAAAAGAATCCTTAATTATATGTACAAAAATAAACTCTCTGTCAAATCCTTGCCTCATTTAAATCAATGGGAATTTTACTATTGACATTACTGAGGATTCACTCTGGGTAAAATATTCAGAAGCACCAAGTGATTTTGAAAATTTTACTCCTGTAGGTCTTATCAGTGAAATAAACAACAGTGTGTTCTCAGTTACATGCACATTTTCAGTTGGAGGGAGGTCTCGCCTATGTGTCTGTGAGCTTTCACCAACAAAATGTGTTGCAGGCACAAACACGAGTAGTTACCCCAATGAGATAGTTCAAAGTAACTACTCAGATTTAGCAACTTCGGATGCAAGAAGTGAGGTTCTTACCCACGAAAGCTTATACTCCCAATACTTCTGTTAATCTTAAAGGTACCACAGGACCCTCTGTTGCTTTTTACAGATTCAGACTAACACGGCTACCCCTCTGATACTCAGATTTACACTCACAGGTGAACTGTGGGTTTCAGAATGGGGACAAACATTTTGACCAAAATATTCCCCATTTATCTAGAGCATCACACCTGAATACATATGTATATATTTGGTAGAAGGTGCTTTCAAACACAATTATGATATTCCTTCAAAATATTTTTCCAAATATGCTTGCCCTCACTTAGAACTAAGTACATAGATACATGACAGATCTGTAGTTTTCCATATAAGCTGTTTTGAGTTATCTGTGCCTGAGAAATGTGTGTGAATTTTTTTTCAAACCTATTTATTCACACTTTGCTAACTCAAAGATGGAAAAAAACCAGTTGGATTGCACCTTGCAGAAACCTCCCACTTTGAACTTAGGTCTAGCTTGAGAAATTTCAACCCAAAAGGTAACAGTTGTTTCTGAAAGTTCAGGACCTGAAAACAGCTTTTAAACATGAAATTGTTTCCTCAGCCATAACAATATTTTGAAATGCACTTTAAAAAAAGATTGTATATAGTTGTAGCTACGTATTATGTACAATGTACAAAATATCTTGGCTAGAGTGGAGGTTAATACACTAAAATTACTGCCTTGCAAATTGAAAAAATGACCAACAATGGGAGAGGATGCCCAAAATGCCAAACTGAGGGTATTTATATTATCCTTTCCAGGTCACTCATTCAACCCAAGGCATAATATTATCTCCCATATGTTAAAAATTTTATTTTGTATTAGCCTAATACTGCTCTTTCACAAGCATATAACTCCCGCAACCGAAAACAGGATGTTTGTATGCATAACACTATTATACCCCTTGGGAAATATTTTTTTTATAACTTGCTTCCATTTTTAGCTTGCAGGGAACTTTGACCCTCCCTCAGTTGACTGCAGAGCTAAAATTAACAGTCACTGTTTGGGGAGAATTTTTTTCCTGCTATATAAACAATTTCTGACCCTTAGTACCAGAAAATAATTCCATTCTTACCTGCAGCATTATTGAGCTTTACCCTCTGGGGCTCCTAGGGGTATTTTGTATTTATTGCCCCATTTTCATTTAATTTTCCCCATCGTTTTTGTTTACTAGGGTGCAGCTGACAACCTTAGAAAGCAGCAGAGGAGTCCCAAATGGACCCTGGGACCAAGAATCATAGAATCATAGAATATCAGGGTTGGAAGGGACCTCAGGAGGTCATCTAGTCCCACCCCCTGCTCAAAGCAGGACCAATCCCCAACTAAATCATCCCAGCTAGGGCTTTGTCAAGCCCGACCTTAAAAACCTCTAAGGAAGGAGATTCCACCACCTCCCTAGGTAACCCATTCCAGTGCTTCACCACCCTCCTAGTGAAAAAGAGTTCAATCCTGAAGGGTACTGGGCATTCTGGCCCCAATCCAGCATAACTCTTAAGCACGGGCTTAACTTTAAGGACATGAATAGCCCCACTTATGTGAATGGGGACTGCTTAGATGCTTAAAGTTAAGCGCCTGCTTGAGTGCTTTGATGGATCGGGGCCAGAGTTTTCAGCACCCTGCGGGATTCAAGCCCCAAATCCAGACATTCTTATTCAGGCAAAACTACAGCAAACATTATAGCTGAGTAAGACCTCCCAGATTTGGCCCAAAGTGGGTGATAAGATAATCACTCCAGCTCTGAGGTGGTTTTGCCCTAAATGTGCCACAGCAGCAGAGCTACCCTGCATTGAGCTTCTTCTATTTTACATCACATGTCCTCATTTCAGCCAACTGATGGCCAGACAATTACAAAAACATGAAAGAAAATAAAAACCACCTTTTGGTCAGCTAGAAGAACAGTGGTTCCAAACTATTGGAAGTCACATGAACTCTCTCAACCGACTGGATTGTATTTGGCAGCCCAAGGGGTGTGTAAGTACCACATTCTGCCTTCAGATACATGTATATAGCTCACAGTGAAGACAACGGACTGCTAGCATGTATCTGAGGGCAGAATTTAGCCTATAGTGTATAGCACATACTGTATGCTCATGAACTTCAAATGCTCAGCTGATTCAAAATACAATTACTTTAAAATCCAGGTAGCCCCAGCTATATTTTTGAGCAGTATAGACATGAGTAGTTGGTATTATTAGATTAAATATGTCTTGTACAAATACTATTAACCAATCAGAAGTTAAGTAGCCAGTCATGTGACATGGATGAAGGGGGTTTGGTGTCTGTGCCTGGATTGTGTAAAAAAAAAAAAAAGAAACTGAATAAATATTTCCAAACTTTTCATTTTTTCCTCATTTGAGCCGTTTGACCTTTGATGTCTGCTTCTGGCCGGAGGGTGGCATTCGACACACCTCTTTGCATGAACTGTTAGCATGAAGCATGAGAAAAACTGCACCATGGCTGATGCAAGAATTTTACATTTTTCTGTATCATTCAAAAGAAGGAAAGATATTATTTAAAATTTAATAATAAATAATAAAATAATAATAAAGCTTTTTCAAACTAAAGGTGCAGCAGGACCAGGCAAATCTAGCAGGTGATACCGTAGGTCACATAGCATCAGCAATCCTTTGATCCTCTTTCGTCACAAATCTAAAGCAAGGGACAGATTTTTCAAAGGCTGATGCCTAAGACAAATCCCCAGGAATTTGTGAGTGCACCCACTTGGGACCAGATAGTGTCTTTATGGCACAAGCCTTTTCCCTGGGGCTAGTGCAGAAGCACACTGCTCCAGGGGAACTCCCAGGAGACATTGTGCACCTTAGGTTAAGCCTGAGGCCTCCTGAATTCCCCCCTCTCCCCGCAGCAGCAGTGAGAATGCTCACCCTGCACTGCCCCTTAGGAAAGTGTAACATGTTCTCGACCTGCTCTGCTCCTCTTCCTGCCCTGTGTGGGGTGCCCCAGGGATGCTGGCAACGGAGCCTTTTCTGCACTCGCATGACCACAGGGACTGCAGTTGTGCCTGATTCCTGCACAGGGATGTAAGAGGGGGAAAGGTGCCCCCTTAAGCACACACCCATGCTCACACACACACACACGGCCCTTTGCTTGCAATCCAGCATTTGCCCAGACATCTGGATTGCTAGGTACATAATTACCGGACTTGGGTGTTGAAATGCTCATTTACTGGAAGTGGGGTGCACAAAGGGTTGGCGCACAACACTTTGGGTCACAACTCTGGCACCTGCCTTTAAGAATTGATGCCTTTGATTTCATTTTATGGCAGGTTTAAAAGAAGACCTAGCGTGCTGGTTTATCGTTGAAACTTTGTGCACATCTAGTTTCCCATGGAGTTGAACTGAAAAAAAAAAAAGCAATACAAAATGATGAAAAAGGGGCTTAGTGATACGTAAGTGAAGGGATTTTCAAAAGTGCCTTAAGCATTGGGGACTAACTCCCACTGAAGGTCAGTGGGAATTGGCTGCCTATTCCTTATGTGCCCCTTTAGAAATCCTATCCTAACACTAACTTTCATTTCTAGAAATCTGGGTGAAAAAGCATTACGCAGAAATTACTATGGTCAGGCTCAGTTACATCCCAGTAAAAACACCATGCAACAGGGAGAGTTAACAATCTGTGCCCTGCAAGAGCCTACAGGTATGTCTACTCTACCCGCCGGATCGGCGGGCAGCGATCAATCCAGCGGGGATCGATTTATCATGTCTAGTCTAGATGCGATAAATCGACCCCCGAGCGTTCTCCCGTCGACTCCTGTACTCCAGCGCCACGAGAAGTGCAGGCGGAGTTGACGGGGGAGTGGCAGCAGTCGACTCACCGCGGTGAAGACACTGCGGTAAATAGATCTAAGTATGTCGACTTCAGCTACGTTATTCACGTAGCTGAAGTTGTGTAACTTAGATCTATCCCCCTAGCCCCCAGTGTAGACCAGGGCTAAGACTAGACTAGTAAAGGGTGCTGTAGGCCAAGGATGTGTACATGTAAGCAGAGATGTATTTGGGAAATTTACATAGCAGCCAGCCTGCAAAATACCGGTTAATAACCAATGCTGAAAGTCCCTGATGGCCATTAGTAACCAAATTCACCAAATGAAGCCAAACAACGTTTCTAAAATGGAAACGAAACACGAGGGCTATAAAATAATTCTCTTTTCCCTTTCATCAGAAATGTTCAGATGTAAGGGCCACTTAAAAAAAAAAAGTGGAGGCTCACTTGTATGCACAAACAATGCACGTACAAAAATACCACTGGGGAGGACAAATATTTGTGCACACCAGCTGGGAAATAGAGCATTCATTTGCTTGTGTGTTAAGCCCTTTTTTGGTAAGCTGGTGTAGGCAAATGCTGGTTTTGGAGGAAGTTGCAGGAAGGCTTTCCATTGCTCAGGCTTTCCCCTCCCTCCCTCCTTTGAACAGTTGGCTAACTTAAGTCACTTGCATCGAAGTCAATAGGAGTCTTACATTGTCATCTGTGAATTCTGGATCAGGGTTATAAGAGCAAAAGAGTATTTCTAGGGTTAGCGCATGCTCTGAGGCACCCCAGTGGGGCTGCCTTAATTTCCTCCATACTACAAATTGTTCTCTCTCATTTCCTTAGTTGGCAATTATTATTGAAGGACATTTTGGTTTTGGTTTCAAATAAAATAATAAAGGTCTTCCAGTACAATGACTACATCAGGATGTTACACCAGGACAAGAAAGCAACCTCTTTCCTTGACCTCTCCAAATAATCAGAAGTGATTAGACTTTTAGCTTCTTTAAACACATGCCCCGACTATTGTTTTACTGGGTCTCCATGTTTATACATGCAGGGAAGGAGATCAGAGTGTGACTTTACTACATCATGGCCTCTGATTCCAAATCAAGGTAGCCCCAGTTTTCCTGTTAAATGTCTCTTTGCTTACATGGTTACAACATTTTTGTAGGATTTTACCATGTTGATAATTACATGCTTCTGCTGAAGATTTGGTAGTCTTCATAAATGTAAATAACGTGCACTTTGCATACGACACAGAAATAAGGCATGTATGTTACTCAGCCTTGTCATTATAGCACATGGTACTCACCATGTAAGTAAATGGTCAGATGTTACTTTATAGATGAAGCAGTAGTACCGAAAATTTCTGCCTAAATAAAGGATTACCTAAGTCAGTTCACCTGGATCAAATATTTTTTGCTTATATATATTTGCTACCTTGGCTATGAGGTGCTCATCTTCCCTATCTCCCTGAGCCAGATCCTCACCTAGTATAAACTGCTGTCTCTCTAATATGGTCCAGGGAGCTGTGCTACTACATATCAACTGATGATCTCACCCTCTATTTTAAAAAAAGAAAGTATAAGAAGCAAGCCCCCCCCCCACACACACACAAAAGCAAAGCCAACTAGACTGCTCTGTTGTTGGAAATGGCCTTGTGTCTCTTCCCTTTCCTTGTGTTTTGTTTGTTAATTTTCCTTTGTCTGTCTGCGTTCAGCCCATTTTTTGTCTCATACTGGTGCATGGATCCATTGCCCACACCGCAGAACTGCATAAGAAGCATTTTTTATTCCTGCTCAAGTCAACTAACTTGGTTTCAACCAGATTAATTAATCTGTTTTTTGTCACCTACACTTCTGGCACATTATGCATGAGTAAAGTTTGCCAGGATTATGTTTAGGGAGATGGCTATATATCGGGTTAAGATTAAGAATATGTCCCGGCTTGGAGATGTCTTATTGGTTTTTATTAGATCAGGACATGCCCGTGTTTAATTACCTATAGAGCAAATTTAGGTTTGATGCATTAAATATAATTAGCTTGTGACTTCCTATATGGACTCCTCCGCCTTCCATGTGGAGCCTTACATTCTTAGACAGGGGAAAAGGGATTACAAATAAGGTATGTAACCATTCCAGTGCTGAATTATAGACTCTTATCTCGATGGACATGACTATGTGGGGGGGAGGGATAGCTCAGTGGTTTGAGCATTGGCCTACTAAACCCAAGGTTGTGAGTTTAATCCTTGAGGGGGCCACTTAGGGATCTGGGGCAAAATCAGTACTTGGTCCTGCTAGTGAAGGCAGGGGGCTGGACTCCATGACCTTTCAAGGTCCCTTCCAATTCTAGGAGATGGGATATCTCCATTAATTTATTATTATTTATTATAGAGGCAGAAGATTCGGCTGTAAAGATGTGGAAAACCATGAATCTCATCTAGATAAAGCAGGCAGACAACTTTATTCACAACAAAATTATGAACAGTAACAAATACAATGCTATTTAATTTGGTAGAAACCCTGCTTAGAGTGAAATTCTTCCCTGTGGGCAAATTTACTGAACATAACGTGCCAGATTATATCTATAGAAACAGAATCGATAGATTTCAAACTCTGCTAATACTACTGTGAAAATATAGCGACTTGTTTACATCGAAGATAACACTTAGCTGCCTCTCCCTGGTTGTGTGAGTAATTTTGAGTGCTCGTTGGGAGAGAGGTTGTTGCTTTGTCCACAAAGAGTCAGCAGCTAGCAGAGTCCTGTTTCCTTGATGTATCTGACTAACTCAACGGCCTTTTCTGGGTGGGGGGGTTGTTTCTGTTCCTGGTAGAGTGGACCAGATTGTTGGACGAGGGACATCAATGACCGACAAGGATCGAACCAAAGGGTCAGCAGAGGGGGAGCTTCCAGAAGACCCAAGCATGATGGGCAGACTTGGAAAAGTTGAAAAGCAGGTATGGGGGGGGATGTTTCTTATAAGGGAAAAGTTCATGTTGTGTGTTGAGATTTTAAAAGTAGTTAAGATTAAGAATAGATGAAAGATTTTTCAAAGGTGCCTAAATAACTTAGCAGCTTAAACCCTATTTGTAAAAGTGATCTTTCGGTACTTAAAGCCCAGAGACTCAAAGGTATGTCAGTACCTAACTCCCCTGGGAGATAGGCACCAAAATACTTTTGAGGATCTGAGCCTTAAGGGCCTAAGACACGTTGAAAGTCATAGGTCCTTAGGAGCCTAAATCTCAAAGTCCCTTTTGAAAACAGATCATTGGTTCCAAAGTGACCTCGGGGCCTTTGAAATGTTCCCTTTCTAACCTAAACAACTTCAAGTGAGGCCGTGGGTGTGATTTTCATTGCCACAGGATCCATGCCTCGTTCAAGGTGAAATTCACTCCAGAGCACAAGGCTCACACAAAGTCCCCATACACACATTGTGAGGGCCTGACCCAATGAAGTGCTGAGCACCTCTGGCCTGGTGCTGAGTGTTCTCCAGCCCCATTGAAATCGGTCACATTTCACAAGCATTTACGCTTGCTTAAAGAAAACACAAAGGGCGTTGCAGAAACAAATCAACGCACTAAATGACGATTTTGGGGTACAACAACTTTAAAATATTTTTAAAAAGCCATCTTCCATAAAAGCAGAGAGGCCCTTGCCAAAGTTCAGACTGGATTTGGATCCCAGCTCTCTCTCAAAGTTCAAGGAAGTCCGATTTGTGCCAGTGTAGGAAGGGGTCATCTATGAAATTCAGATCCCCATTCGAGCATGGACAGGAGTGGAGCTCTTTGTATAGAGGGTATTGGTCCACAGACATCACTCAGCACAGGGAACTGTGTGACATTTTGCAGGTTCTGTCCATGGAGAAGAAGCTGGACTTTCTGGTGAACATTTACATGCAGCGGATGGGTATCGCACCAACGGAAGCAGAAGCCTATTTTGGGTCCAAAGAACCAGACCCGGCGCCACCCTACCACAGTCCAGAAGACAGCCGGGAGCACATGGACAAAAATGGCTGCATCATCAAGATCATCAGGTCCACCAGTTCAATGGGACAAAAGAATTTCTCTGCACCACCAGCCCCAACAATGCCAACCAACACGTGTCCCCCTTCAACGTCCTGGCAGCACCAGCCATACCAGCGGCATAGCCATGGATCCTCCCCAGTTGGAGATCCTGGCTCTTTGGTAAGAATCCCACCCCCACCTTCACATGAGCGCTCCTTGTCCGCTTACAGTAGCGGGAATAGGGCCAGTGCCGAGTACCTGAGGAACGAAGATATTACAGCTAAACACCATGACAGCGCCTTGAGAGACAGTGACACGTCCATTTCCATCCCGTCGGTGGATCATGAGGAACTGGAACGCTCCTTTAGTGGATTTAGCATTTCCCAGTCCAAAGAAAATTTGGACGTCCTTAACAACGGTTGCTATGCAGCAGTGGCCCCCTGTGCCAAAATCAGACCCTACATTGCAGAAGGAGAGTCAGACACTGATTCTGACCTCTGCACACCTTGTGGCCCGCCTCCCAGATCAGCCACAGGTGAAGGACCTTTCAGTGACATGGGCTGGTCAGCCCCTAGACAGTGAAGCATTTTGACATCTATTGAGCCAAGTCAGCGCACTGGCCAGCCGCCCACTCATGCCGTCCCCACATCGAACTTCTGGAGGAGATCTACAGCTAAGGTTTTATGACTCCAGAACATACTTAGCTTGTGGATATTTTCTTACAGCTTACTCTGGGGACAGACGCTGAGCCAGCATTCAGTAGAAAGAGGCCACTGTGGTGAATAATTCGGAGCCTTGAAGTGTCTGGATTTCTTTCATACTATCTTTCTAAGATAATTAGGTGAAACGATGTCACAGTACAGGGTAGGCAACCACATTTCTTGGTAATCCTTTAGGGTACAGGGCACAAATATCACCCGCAAGGTTTTTTGGGGGGCAGTGGGGGGATTAAGTGATGACTGAACGTATCTTTTACATGGTAATTACCTTACCATGACACTGGGTGATTACACAGTCAAATACTTTGGAGTTGCACCGCAAATACATGATTATTTTTGTCTTGTAAAACATTCCAGGTTACATGATGATTACTTTTGAATTTATGGAACGGGATCCTCCATTAACCGTTCAGGAATGTAGTGTAATTACTGTATAATACATGGAAGCCCAGTTGGCTCTTGACAAATTGGGGTGTTTACATTCACGTTACGGTATTGCCCTAAGACAGACGTGTGCTGTCAAGATGAGTCGAGGTAGAATGTTAGCAGGCACCATTTGGAACCAGAATGATTTTCAAATTAAATTTGTCATGGGGCTTAGGTGGAGGAGGAAGGTCAAAGACACAAAATGTGTCTTTGAAGGCAAAGAGGAACACCACATAGGACTGGGGATAAGGCATTTTACATTTAAACCATGTATTATATTTAATAATGTATCTGCCAAAATGTACAGAACGGGAAGCCATAATTCCACCTACGGGGGTGTAGTAACTTGAAGTTGCTCTCGTAATTTTTGATATTGCCAGCAGCACTGTGGTGAACGTACAGCCACAAGAGACAGAGCTATGGGGAGAGGGACGTTACTCGAGATCACGGCAAGGAACGAGAGCACCAGCAGCGGCTGGGCCCTGTAACTCAAAATATTGCCCATTTTGTACAGCATTCGCATTATGCCTGGATGCTTTTGCAGGCACCAGACTCCCAGCAAAGTTCCTTCCTCCTTTCCTCCACTACCCCATCCCGGATCACAAAGCTATGACTTCTCCATTGCTTTGTTTAGATCCTTCATGCTGAGACCCAAGGTGCTTCCTTGTTTCCTCCTGTTTTTTTTTAATACACCTGTGATCTGTATTTATCCACAAATGCGGGCAGCGGAAGTTTTTCTATTTTTTCTCTTTCTCTCCCTCTTGAAAAGCCAGATCATGGCATCGTTACTGGTGCATAAAGCTGGGGGAAAACTGATGATGCAGAAGGTTTCTTTCAGGACCAAAACAAAATCACAAAGTGGTCCTTTCCTGTCACAGAGCTTGCAGGGGTCGCTCAAGGGGATGGGTCATAGGAAATCTGCTGGTGCATTATGGGATGCACAGCCAGGTCTGCTACACAACAGCCGTTGCCATGTCCACCAAATCCACCCATTTAACTAGAGCCCTACACCTTGCGTGTTTTCTGAAGGGGAAAAA